AAAGTCATCCGAAGCCCCTGACCAGGACGAATTGTTTGTTGGTTGAGGCACCAAAATGGCACTATATGACTATATGTATGTAATACTATATATGAAGATTATGAAGAAGATCTTTGGATTGTACCACAGAAATGGTTGTGAAAACTGCAGCTTCTCCAGTTGCCCAAGGAAATCGCTGACAAAGAAAAGATTGATGCAGAAGCCACATGGCACAGGGAGGCGTTTTTGGGGCGCGGACCTTGGTGCTTGTTGGTTCCTTGGTGCTTGTTGCTTTTTTCCTTCTCCATCCGGACCGGTCCCCGAGAATTGATTTTCACAGACTCCCCGGTCAGTGGACCATGGACCGAAATGTGGAGACCAAACAGCTCGCTGCTGCCCACGTCGGACGACGTCGGGAGCCCATGACCATTAGCCAGCGACGGACACGGCGGGACCCATATGACGACGACGGGAACGGCGCACCGATGGGAACGGGGAAGCGTTTCGAGTTCTCAGTTGGCAAGGTGAGAGCTCAAGAAGGAGGATTCCCTGCGATCAATGCGAAGCTTCGTTCAGAGATCTGTCAAGTGCTGGAGCAGATGGCTCCTCAGTCTAAACTTCAACGAGTTTGCACTCTGAGGTTCAATGTATCCTGAAGACCACAAAGTTCCAAGATGTTCCAAAACGTTTCATGTCCCAAGACCTGTGCTCAGATGTTTTGCCGGCGTCCTTTCGATACAGGTGATTGCTGAAGAAATCTCAATTTGGAGTTGAAAGGGGGGGGCCTTGCAAGAGGGCGAATGATGTTGTAGGTATTTGTAGGTTGAGTTGCAATAAGCACATTGGTTTGGGGCTATGTCAAACTTTGGAGCAGCTTTGCTTTCTGCGCAGCAAAGCCACTCATCCCTCCAAGTTTTTGGAGCTAATTGAGCAATCTTGGATCAATTGGACATGAATCGAGGCCATTGGTTGGCTCTAGGTCTCGTTGTTTTACCTGTTTGATTCGATCTGTTGTTTGACGCTCACTTCAGGCATCCACCTTCACGGAGGATTTGTCCGAGCTCGCTCGGCAACTTCGTGAGAGGGAGCTGAGTCCGCGCCTTGAGCAGCTGAGCAGGGCTCGGGTTGAACATGTTGGAGGCTGTTTCAGCATAGAGGGAATCGCCATTGATCCTGACAAACCACCGCCAACTTAGACCTGCCCCTTTTCTTCCAACAAATGGTGATTGACTTTCACTCATGCATTCATGGCAACGCCTCACCAGCCATGTCGGGGTGCCGAACGAACGTATCATCCACGGCATCGGCTCGACGCTCGACCTGTGGAATTCCTTACGTCGCAACCGAAAGTTGATCCGAAAGGCAGACCACGGGCATGAGACACTGGGCCTGTAGTAAGGACCTGCAATGAGACCAGCCCACTGGAAGTCCATGTGGCAGACGACGATCCAGCCGCTCGTTCAAGCAATCTGAAGTGCCTCGGAGGGGTTGCCGGTGGAATTCTAGCTAACCTCCCTTTACACGTGCTTCAGTAACAAACATCTCCAAACCATGTGTTGATTGTTGGATACGAGATGTTTAATGTGTGTTGATTCTACGCTCTTTGGACATGTGAATCCCCCATGCTGCATGTGTGTGCCATTCCATGCGAGCCATGAGGTGAGGCCAAAGCCATGGCAGCAGCGACCGTCCGCGGCATTCGGAGCAGAGTTGACCAAATGGGCCAAATTTAGAACATCTGAAGGATCAGGTGAAGACCCCTGAAGATGTTCGTAATTAATGCACATATTGCACGGAAGTGTGCACAATCTTTGCATGATCTTGGCAGATCCGGCCTTCCCATTCCATTCAATTTCCTAATTCAAGATTTCGCAAAGACGTTGAGGAATTTTGAAATCTTGCACAAATTTACTTATATAAACAGTACAAATTATGTAATATATTATCTATTACTATTTAATCACGAAAGCCAGCCGGCAGGCAGGGCGTGAGGCTTCTGTAGCGAACGAAGTGAGGACAACTCTGGAGAGGTGAACCCAGAGCCTGGTGGGGGAGAGCGACAAAAAGAGGCCGGCCACTGGGTGTTGTTTTTGGGGGTGTTGTGATGCCGGTGATGTAATCGACGGCTAGTGGTGCATTATCAGCATCATGAGGGGCTCTGAGGGGCTATGTGAATCGTTTCTGAAGGCTTCCCGGACTACAGGGGTGCCCTTTTTTCGCCTTTGGCGATACCAAGGTTTGCCATGCACTCTGGCTTGAAGGTGGCATCATTGATTTTTAGATATATCGTTGCAGGACCTCAAAGATCTGTAAAGTATGAATGTTTGCAATGAAATTATTTCCATTAATTTACATTTGATTGTTTAGTTTCAAATTGGCAGGTTGTAATGCGACAACCATATTCCTAGCATTTCATTTGGCAATTCTGTTAGCAATGATTTCCCCAAACAGCGGGGGCACACTGAGGGTCCTTACGGTAGGGGAAAGGCAGGTGTGCTTAGATCGCTGTTCGGCGCGGCCGTGTCCGGCTAATTCGCTGCTATTTACAGTACATTCATGCCTCTCGACATCATCAATGTGCATTTCGATTGCGCAGGCTCGCAGAATCTGGGTGTCGGTGGGTGTTTCTAACGATTGCGCTCTCGTTGTGGTGCACATGGTGATCACTTTTCGTGGCAGGCGCAAGGGAAACCTCGTGTTTTGGTGCTCCAAAGTCGACTTTTCGTGACAGAAGCAAGGGATCGGAGGCATTCTACTTCGAAATGCAGTTTTCGTGGCAGGTGCAGCACTTTGGACATGGTGGTGATCGACCGTCAAGGAGCTCAGATTTCGTGACAGGCGCAGTGAATCGTGATTTTTTGAGATGTGGTTTCGTGACAGGCACAGCACTCTGTGACCCTCGATGTGCAGATTTCGTGGCAGGCGCAGCATTCTGTGACCCTCGATGCGCAGATTTCGTGGCAGGTGCAGCACTTGGTGAACCTCAAAGTGCAGATTTCGTGGCAGGCGCAGCACTTGGTGAACCTCGAAGTGCAGATTTCGTGGCAGGCACAGCACTCTTGGTGAACCTCGATGCGCAGATTTCGTGACAGGTACAACACTTGGTGAAGCTCGAAGTGCAGATTTCGTAGCAGGCACAGCACTTGGTGAGCCTCGAGAGGCAGATTTCGTGGCAGGCGCAGCACTTAGTGAACCTCAAAGTGCAGAGTTCGTGGCAGTCACAGCACTTAAAAAACCTCGATGTGGAGATTTCGTAGCAGGCGCACTTTGTGCTCTCAGATAGATGCTCATTCTCCCACTCCCCAGTCTCATTCACATTCACTCTCATTCACACTCGCACTCACACCCACTCACTCTCCCACTCTCACTCACTCCCTCACCCTCACTCACTCACCACCACCGCCATCATCACCACGATTCCCACCTTCATCACCACCATCACCTCTCTGGACCCCAATGCGTCTAGATCTCTAGACTTTCTGCTTATAGACCGCACACACTGTTTGGGGTCTCTTGCCGGGATAATTAACAAGGATCATTTTTCAATTTTTTCAACAAATATCGTCCCGCAAGAATTCGATGAATGTTTGGAAATTAAAAGTAATCAATATTTGCAACTGTTCTTTCTTTCTACAATGCGTTAAATCATACCTTTTATACTTTATTTTAGATAAAAATCAATTTCGTTTTATTTCATTCATATCATATGTGTATCAACTGTTCTCCGATCCTATGGCCTTTGATGCCAGGTGGAAGACCGCATTGATTAAATCAATGTTAAAATATACAATATGCAATTATCGTTCTAATATTTTATTTTTTACTATCCAAATCCTATTTCAATAAAATCCATTTAGAAATATATATATATATATATCGTCTATTGATCATCATAGGATTTGATTGTTTCAATCTATCTATTTAATTTTTACTTATATATTTAAAAAATATTGGTTTAAAGCAAAAAACAATATTATTATATTATATATATATATCTATGTATATTTCATTTAAATATAAATATATATATATCTTTATTTATATTACATTCGATTAATAAATGATAGATATACTTTAAATAGAATTATACCAGCTTCGTTTAGACCAATATACTGTAAGTCAAAAAAACGATTTCTTGGTACGCCCTACCTTCACCCCAAGAGCAAACTGTTTCATCAATGACCTTTTGTCGGCATTGACATCGCTACTTGTGCGGCCACACTCCTCTCCAGTAAACCGGGCCACGGAGACCAGCCACAAAGGACAAGAGGAGGACAAGGCTTGAGTTCAGGGGCGCGGCCAGTGAGTGTGGCCAGCTCTTTTTTTTCTATTATAGAACACCAACAATAAATTGGTTTGGAAAATATATTGATTTCAATTCAAAAAACAGCATAGACCCCAAACAGCTTCAAAACGGTTCGCTCAGACCAATATAAGTCAATAAACGATTTCTTGGTATGCCCTACCTTCACCCCAAGAGCAAATGGTTTCATCAATCAATTTTGGCTGGCAGACTACCCATTTTGGCTGGCAGAGCCATGGGGAGACCACAAATTTGCACCATAGAAGGAACCATAACCATAGGCTAAAACATGCTAAAGCTAATCCACAGAACAGTGAACACTGGGCACTTTTGTGTCCATCAAGAAGGCGCGCTTTTGGCTAGGGAGTGTGGGGGGGAAGAAGGGGATGAGGAAAACCACCGCAGACTCGTAGACCAGATTCCTTCACAGCCACCTGAAGGCCTGCTTTGGACGTTCAAATTGGGAGACGTCCCGAAATTCGGGTGAGACATCCCAAGTATGGTGTGTGTCACACCTGTCAAGGGGGCTCCTCCAGGCCGCCAGGCCTCCAGCTGCTGTCCTCCAGCAGCTCGCTCCACCGACCCTCGCCCCTCCTGTCGCCCTGTGGAGCTCACCAACACCGCCTGGGCCTTCTTCGCCTCTTTGGGCATCCGCACCGAGGCGCTCGGGGGGTCGTGTTTCTGACAGCGCGCGACCAACACATGGCAATCGATGGATCAAAGCCCAGCGCGAAGCACGGAAGAAACAAAGGGTCTCTCCCATCATGTTCGGTTCCCCGTGATCTCTTGTAAAGTACGTTATATACTGTAATATATATATATATATTATACCTTGGGTTTGTCCTATTACCTGTAACCGTCAGTAAATTAAACAATTATTACATATTATTACTATTTTTGAACAAAGCCTTTACTAACCGTCATCATCCACTGTTACAGGATTAGGATAGACCCAATGTACCATGTATATATATATATATTATATGAAATGTAAAGACGGACCGTGTCAAAGATCGTTAGATGGCCCGCCTGGCACAAGGTGCACGATGCATCCTGGAGGTGATGTAAAGCATGACAATTCTAAGATGATCCAGTGCCACCCATTCCCTGCTTCCAACGCAGGGCCTTTCGAAGCCTTGGGAAAAGAGTGCGCCTGGTCTGCAATGGAGGGCATGGGGCATGGGGCCCGTTGGTTTACACAAAAGGTCACGCGAGGCAGTTCCGCGCGACCGTGCCAAAGACCCGTCCTACCCAGACACTCCATGGACTGTACATTGGAGTGCTTTGCGGGGTCAACAGAGATCATAATATTCCATACATGGAGTGTTTGGGATAGGATATCATGGGATTGAGTGGGGGCATGGCCACAACAGACCGAACAGCTGTTTGATTCTTGATTCTTGGAAGTGGAAAACCACCTGTTTGTAGTGGAAAGTGGTCTTCCTTTCGGGGCCATTCTCCACTTCCATGTGAGTTCCAGGGAATGTATTGTTTTCTGGAAAGATCACGAGGTGTCATGACATGTGGAGCTGAGGCAGAATTTGACCAATGTCGCTTGGGCATATTCTCATTTGGCGGTGGGCAGTGAAGAGCTGCTGTCGGACGTGGCACGGATCGCCCATGCGCGCATTCATGAGATGCGCTTCAGCTGCATGTGGAGCTGGACTGGTTTGAGATGGTTTGACTTGGGCCTCAGAATCTATCCATTTGTGCGTATTTCAGTCAAATGGCATTTGGATGCTAGTGGTCATTGCAGGAGGCTTCAGGGGATGTCTCCTAAAAGCCCGTACCCCACTCACCCCCATTCCAAGACACACCTCACACCATCCCACACCAGCACGTGAGAAGTTCGGTGTGCTGCCCAGGACGGCGAACGAGAGAGAACACTCCGTTTCAAGGGCCGAAAGTGAAGTTGGTGAGAACAAGTCAGCCGTTTCAGATCGTTTCATCTCCAAAACGTGGCTTTGATCGGGCAAGAGATTTGGAACGCCCTCGCCATAAGCTGCCTATCCCCAGATTTCGCCCAAACTCTGAAACCTTGCAAAGCAAGATCCTGCAGAATCTGGAGATATTTGTATGCTGAGCACCTGTCACATCCTTCGCCTAACACTGGACCTTCTCATTCTCTAAATCGCTGCGAGGAACGTCCAGGACCTGGCCCAGCTGGCCTTGACGCTGGTCTTCACCCGACGATCCGGCCTGGACCGCAGACCGTCCCAATCGGAAATGGGTGCCTCCTTACCCGAGATGAGGGTCCAACATGGGTGTGGAATATGTGGTCAATTTAGTCCCTCCTTATTTGAGATTTGGTTCTTTCAGTTTCGTTTTTGTCGGGGCTTCAGCCCAACTTCGGCTCAGCTCTGCAGGACGAGTCCGGTGCGTGCGCCGAGTCCGCGGGTGTGCTGGGCACGCGGGAGCTCATGGTGGCTTTGGTGGCGGAGGCGCCGGTTTCACTGGGAAGCAAGCTCGTTTTTGAACACTTGAACCTCTTTCCCAAGCTCCACGACTTGCAGCCGCATGGCAGGTGACGAAACCGATGGTCCTGAAGATCCAACGGGGCGGCCTCACGTGCGCCCAGCCGGGGGGATGGGGAGAGGTGAAAAACCTCGGAGCTTCAGAGAGTTTGAAGGGGATACGGGGGGGGTGCCTGCCTGTTTCAAAGGCACAGCTGGCACAGCTGGGAGGCGTTTTTCAGCATCACCAAGCTTGCATAAGTGCTGGCAACAGCTTGATTCACCGACTCACTCATTCGCTTCGATGCCGCCCCAAATGATCCTTATAGGGCCGCCCGGGGAGTTCCTGGACCACCATGAGAACCTCACCGGGTCAACCCGGCCCTGGGGGATCCACGACGCCCTCGTAACGTCGATGAACAGAACATGGGCGCAGGACTCCAGATGACGTCTGGATCGTGGACCTGGTCATGGTTTGGATGGAGGCGCCGTGGTGCTCACAGCGCGGACACAGAAAGCTTGATGCTCCAGAGGTGCTTTCCTGAAAACAGGTGTTTCGCTGTCTTCGCTGCAGGTTTGCCAAGCACTTCCCACGAGTGGAGCTGAGGATAGCCTACCCGGGCAGCAGAGAAAATGGACCATGCTGCCAACCGGGCGTCCATGCCAGGGACGGATGGTGATCACTCTCCAAATCAGAGCTGTCCACTGAGATAACTCCAAGTCTGGCTAACTCACTAGGCATTTTAAGGTGTGAGGCACACAGATCATCGCTTTCACTCTTCACCACATCACACATCGCACATCGCTCCGCTCATTTGGCAGACCTCTTTTGGAAAGACCCCACCCGAAGCTGTTGGCCTCTCAAGGAAAGGGAAGAGCACTAGTCACTAGCAGTCACTAGCAATCCATTGCAACTGTGGCGCATGAAGGTTACCTGCAGAAACTGAAGAACTGCACAATACTGCTTATTAAGAAAAGGCGAACGCAGTTTGTTCAACTCGAAGTCCCTTCCTTGCTTCCTTCGGAACGCCTGTCTCCTCACGCTGCAACATCCCAGAAACGAGTCGAGCCGGTAGTCGAACGGAACGGCAAGCTTTCAAGAGAGAACAACGAAGTGGAGAGGCAAGGGTTTAGGCACCCAGGCAACAGCCAGGCCTCAAGCTTTCGCAATGTCGAAGCTGCTAATGTTCGTTGTTTTGGCTGGACATGCTGTGGGGCAAAAACACACATCCCATTGGATCGTGAACGGTGGCCACTGTCAGATTCAAGGATCTTGCGTGGTGCCTCCTGTCACTAGACTTGACTTTTCAATGACTTGGCCAAATGATTGATTTAAGATGCACCATGTGTTCTTTCTCCTTTGGAAAGCCCTTGAGCCAGCATTTCACGCTTTGCAGATGCGTTTGTGTGCATGTTATTTGTTCCGTGCCGTATTGTGCCGTGCGAGTCGTGGGCCCAGGCGAATGCTTTTGGTCAAAGATGCTCCTTCACCTCCTTCCTGGAGCCCGGCTGGGCAGTGCGAGGCTTCAACACGACGTCTCCACAACTTGTTGAGAATCCTCCGCATTACTATTGGATGGCCGCTCCTGCGGGCAGAACCACTCCAGAGTGGAAACTGGGACTGGAAACGAAAAGAAGAAGGTGTACTGTATCACCAGGTTCGGAACAGCTCCCTTTGGTTAAGGGATTTCTATGGATTTCTAAACCACTATAGTTGGGCTTTTCACCCGAACAGAAGGACCGGGCTGTGTCCAGCCAAGGAAGTATTGTCTCCTGGAAAGCTGCGCGTTGGCCACGTGCGACGCAGGGCATTTACTCCGAACCGATGCGGCGGAGATCGTCCCGGTGAACCAATCGGACTGCTGCGAAGCGTCCTGCGGGCAGTTTCCATGTCCTTCGGGCTTTACCTTGCGAGCAGATGCCAACACCACGGTCGCACACGGCGAGGGAACATGCCGCATGGGTTTGTTGAAAGTGCTTTTTGGTCTGTGTCATGGTGATTGCTTTTGACACGGCATAGTCTAGTCCCATATGATTGGTTCAAATTGTCTTACATAACAATGGATCACAAGTCTCTGAGGAAACAACCTATGGAAGAATTGTTGAAGGATAGACCTGTCAAACTTGTCTGCGTTCTTCAAACTGCACGAACGGCCGCAAGCTTGTTTGGGGCGGTTCGTGTGGTGAGTAATAGGGTGGGTTCGACGTCCAAGGCTGCGAGCGCTTGTGCAGCAGTTTTCATTGCCCGGCAGCCTTCGAACCCATTTTCAACGCACACCTCGTGAAGGGGGACCGCGTCTCGCAGTGTTGCAGGAAGCTGCCCGAGTGTCAGATGAATTCCAACTACAAACCCGTGGACATGGCCGGCACGAAGCCTCGCAAGGTCGATTCAGCTGCCCAATGCTTTGAACTCTGCGAGAGGACCCGGAACGGGCCGTCGCGGGGCGGCGGAGAAGATCAGGAACCTCCAAGCGCGCTTAGACTAGAGAGATCCAAAGAGAAGATATGAGGAAATGAACCCGAACCCGAATCGCCCAGGACGATCTCCCTAGTCTAAGATATTCTAAGGTACACCCGACACCCAGCTCTAAAGTTCCCATCCACCTCCACTTGGCTCTATGAATTTCTTTTGAAGCTATGGCTTGGAAGCTTCCCAATTGAGTCAAGCCCTCAAGTCGAAGGCCCCGGCCCCTGCCTAGGACTCCGTTTTGCTCGGGATTTTCATGGTTTAGAGACAGAAGCTGCCACCTTGCGGACGCCAATGCAAGCTTGCAGTTTAGCGCGCACAGTGCGAGTGGAAACCGCTCTTGCTATGCGAAACTGCCGGCAGCTGAGAAGAAAGCTGCGACCAAGGGACAGTTCTCGCGATCGTATTGCCAGCGCCAGCCCAAGCGCTGCAGTGGCCGCAGATTTGAAACCGTTGGCCCTCGAGTGTGGAACGACATGAAACACAGTGTCACGCGGGGTTTGGATGTCGTGGATTGGGATGGCGATGGTTTCTTGGACCTGGCGCCATGGCTTTAGATGGCTGTAGGATGCTCCAAACCAGCAGCCCAAAGAATTCATTTAATAACCAGGACCTTCAAAGTGACCTCTTTGGAGTCTTATGGAGTCTCTAAGTGACCTCTTTATGGACTAAGTGACCTCATTCTGGGATCTCAAAAGGTTTTTTTTTTTTAGCTGGGTCACCTTTTGTGAGTGCATGTCGGTCAACTCAACTAAGGTGACTGTCTCATCATCGGAACCAGGGACAGAGTTTGCATATGCAAGCCTAGACTTGCACATTCAACTTCACAACGATCCTCTCCCAAAAGGCCACATTACTTTGGAGGATTCTGGGGAGTTTGTCAGTCGACCGCAGCTCTCGATCTTTGATTGGGATTCGGACGGCAAATTGGATGTGTTGCTTGGATTTTGCTTGGAGTATGTGCAGAATGTCTTTCTACTCTTCGGTTAAACTGAAGTGATACGTGCGGGACCTTCGACGTGCATCGGATGACTCGGTCCGCGGAATCCACGAAAATCCGACTCGAGGCTCATTGGGATGGCGTCTGGGCAACTGAGATTCTTCAAGGGCGTTGACCCACAACTCCCGCCCTCTGCCAGATCGGCCACCCTTCACCACTTTCAGCCTGCAGAAGAGCCGCACCCCTTCACTTCGATTCATGGCCACAATAATTCCGCTCCAGCAATGGCCTTGTGGAACGAGGACAGCACATGACACCTGATAGCATCGTATAAAATGCAATGCCGTTTCGGCTGTATTCTGTTAATGTGTTTGCTTTGCGATAGATGCAACTTTTGACAATGGTGGCACTGAATGAATTACGAAAGCCAGCCTTCGTAGAAGGCGCCAGCTGAGTTGTGTTTGGCGAACGAAGTGAGTAAGTAGGGGGTCTGGGGGGGGTGGCCGCAAACGTACCACGTAAACTCGAAATTAGGTGGGGGAGAGGGGTCCACGGAAGTAAGGTAGTTTCTGTGATTTTTGAGGGGATGGCGATGCAAGAAATGCAATTTGCGTCACTTGCATCATCTCATTGGTAAGGTGTAGCTGGCGCCTTGCCAGGTATAGATACCCAGGGTAGCTACAATTCAGTTACCAGGTATAGTACTTCAAGTTCCCTTTCCGTCAACCGCTCGATAACCTTTTCACACGCACAGCAATCCACAGCTTTGAAGTCTCATTCGTGCTTTGAACTTATATGGGTGTGCAAGAGGTACAGCAACATAGCATATATACGGACCCAGGGTAGCTATACTGTTGCCAGGTTCGCACTTCAATTTTCCTACCCTGGGTCCGCGCCTGGGAACAGAATTGTAGCTACCCTCGGTCCGTATAAATGCTATGTTGCTATACCTCTTACACACCTATATAATACCTGGTAACTGAATTGTAGCTACCCTGGGTATCTATACCTGGCAAGGCCCCAGCTGAGTAAGAAGGGGGGTTTAGGGGGCTGGCCTGAGAAAGCACACTCGAAAGTAGGGGGTGTGTAGGGGTGCACAGAAGCGTGCCGTGCGCGATGCTGCATGCTGCCTTTGGCCAACAACGTGCTCGTGGACAAAAACGCTGGCTTTCGTTTTGCAGCTTCTCAGGCTGTAACTGGCAGAATTCCTTGGTGGTTCACTTGTCCGTAAGATTCCGTAAGAATCGCGTAGGCACCTCGCAGACCCATGTTGACCTGCTCATGCTTCTTTTGTGCGTTGCAGTGGTCAAGGCAGATCAAACATAGCCAACTCGAGGACGAATATCCAGACTTGGTGTTGGCTCATGCCTGTCAAGTCGATATTTTCCTTGGAAGTGCTGATGGCTCCCTACACTTGGCATACTCTCACTACTTTGATGATGGAAAATGCCGTTTTGTTCCGACCGTTTGGGACTGGGACAGCGACGCAGATGTTGTTGAACAAGTTTTCCTTCATGTTCCTTCTTCCTTTGCCCTGCCCTCAAGACCTGCCACTTGATGCCTCTATTGAAAGCCTCTGACAGAGACTCAAAATAGCTCAGAAACCGTCACCAATTCACAAACCCCAAAACCGACACAACTCAACCCCATCCCCCAGGTTTTCACACCCCTCTTGGTATGTGAGTGCGCCGTGCGTGCCATGGATTGTTTGGGCCATGGGGAACTCGATTCCGAGGTGATGGTAAGCCCGATCTGATCGTTGGAGATGAGCAGGCCAGGCGCCTTGACCCGGGCAGCGAGACCATGACCGAGTCTCCTGCCAGACCTGAAACGAGAGACCGAGACACCGGTCGACCGGTCTCAGGGGAAGCTCCACTTGTGCAAATCGGACTCCATGGAGCAATTGCAGTGTTTCTTGGGCCGCATGTGTCGAGTTAGAGTTTCTGTAGTCAGGGTTAGTACGCAGATGGCTCAGAAGGACAGGACTCTTACTGTTGTAGTTAACGACACGTGAGGATTATGGCCACAAAACCGGCTGCTAGCGGCTGAGGCTTTGAGAGCGTTCTTGTTTGTGAATCTTTTGACATCGCATTTGAGGCTCCCAGGAGGAGTTCAAAATATTGGGCGTGGGAAGTGATGCTTCACCAGCTGCGTGTGATTGGGACAAGGATGGCGTTCCAGATTTGTTTGTCTATGGCAAAAGCGAGCTGGTGGCAAAGCCTTACTGGTTTCGACGCAATGAGCCGCTGACTGGGCATACTTGTTTGTGCATTATGTTTGAAAAGGCATTATGATGCATTATGGTGCATTGTTGTAAGACCTTGCTAGCAGTTTGACACTGCATTTGCAAATGTCCCCACTATTCCCCACAGCCACTTGTCAAGGTCAGGCGTGGCTGTGATGAACCCTGCACATCCTTTGGACGGCATTGACTTGGGGGACGATGCTGTGCCTACTTTGGTGGATTGGGACCGTGATGGAGATTTGGATCTCATTGTCCCTGGGAGATCTGACTACTTTAGATGCTTCCTTGTCGGGCCAAGCTTGTTGACAAGTGTAGTGTTGAACTGTTGACGACGTCCATTGTACAAGACTCAAGTTAGTTTCTTTATCAGGTTGGCAGTGGCGATGGAAGAGTGTGGTACTTTCCTTGGCACAATGGAAGCTTTCATTCGATGAATGGTTTGGATGGTCCTTTTGCGCAAATAGATGCAAAGCCTGCATGCTTGAAGATGGAGTGACAACCAACAGCACAAGCAAGGCATTGTTTGGCAAGAGATAAGTCTGAATCAGCCACTGTTCAGTACTAGCGCAGCAATTCCATGCATTCTTTGACGAATACTCTCATTGTCAGTTTACGCTTCAATAGTTCACACTTGTAAGCTTCAGAAGCTCAGCTTAATCGAGCCAGGTTGGATCCAAGGCCGCGCCTGCAACTGTTGACTGGGATTTGGATGGTTATCCAGATTTGGTGGTGGGCAATGGAAAAGGGAGCTTGGCCTTCTTTCGTGGAGGGCCGGGCAAAATTGATCCTGCAGGTGTGGACCGGCGCTCAGTTGAACGTGCAGTTGCTTTGGTTCGTGGAGTAGTTTCTTGCACTGCATCACATGCTAATGTTAGATGTGGAATGCACCTAGACGTTTGTCGCAGCCTACGGACCTGAAACAACCCCCTGGTTCTACAAGATTGTCATTTGTATCACAGCATTGTCATCGGCATCGGTTTCACAACATAGTCATTGGATAACCATATGTGATTATGTATATTGGGGTTGGGGGACGGGTTGGGGGGGTCGGGCGCGTCACAGTTTCTGGTCAAGAGGCTCATGAAATTACAAATTTGATGGGAGGGTTGACGTGTATAGCTTGTGATATTGCCGCTCATCCTCTGACATCCTATGACTATATTTCAATCATGGGCAAACTTAATGATGCCCAGATCTTGCATTTGCGCTCGACCAAGCAAGAATGCCGGGCGCCATCCTTATCGACATTGTTCTGGACAGATGTGTTTTAGTTGGATAACGCCTTTTAATGTCTCGCGTTGGCTTGGAATATGAATAATATATTATATGTTCGAAACTGGCACTAATGGCCACCTTGGGGATACCCTGACCCCGATCCGATCGGCCGCCCCTTTTCTCTTGAGACATGAGGTTGCCTGCGTAAGCGAATGCTTCTTGCTTGTGCTGGATCGATGACACTGCTTTTTAACTCCTATAATGTTCTCTCTTAAATATGTCTTTCAATGATCATCCGGATCAAAGCATCAGTGTTCATTTGCACTCGTCTGCTCAGCAATGGATTTACTTCTTCTTCTTCTCTCGAGGCTCATCTGTCCCCGGGTAGCAGCTGGACTGGGACTTGGTTGAGAAGCCCACTGCGTCCAAGTAGTTGGCTAGATCCTGGAATCGTCCTCCACGGTTTTGACCATGCTCATGAATCCACTTGAGACACGGCACACGTTTTGGATCATTCAGCAACTCCTTGTATGACAGCTTCTCTCCGGCCACCTTTGGGAGAGCACAGATTGTGCTGCCCCAGTCTCGATGTCGGTCACCCCCGGTGGCAAGGACACCTGCTTGACAGCCTTTGCCATGGTTGGTGCGATCCGAGGTTGATCCATCATCCCTTTTGGGATCACCCTCTCACACGTGATAGACTTGCCGGGGTTCTCCCCGTAAGTCACCGGTTCCCACTCTTCATCAACTTCGGCCTGAGGATGGTCCCTGAGCCTTTTGGAGGAGTCGTTCATGCTGGATTTGTCAACCTTGGTGTTCACACCGAAATGACTTGCCCTGGCCAAGACCTCCCTGGCTGCTGCGAGTTCCTCTGGCGTCAACTGGTGTTGACGGAGCGTTCATTCGGACAAAGTGTGCTTCTAAGCTCGTGACCACTGCTGAACCCAAAAATGCTCATTCACAAACAAACTTATCTCTGCAAACTCCTTCGAGCTGAAACAGAAAACGAAAAGCAAATGCATGCGAATGAAAGGCACGAGCACTACCGCATTAGATCATTAACTTGAAATCACTTCTGATCAGTTCTATACACAAAGCTGTTTGATGATTCACCACACGAATCAAACGTGACAAGCGCAGCTGACAAGTGATCTCCTACGCAGGCTTACTATCTTCTTAATGCACAAAACAACGAATTCCACTCTTCCTTGCTAAGCGTGCCAAATTCTGGTCAAGTACCCATTACTTAGACTGATTAACAAGTACGCATTTCCGAAAAGCATATGGCTTGCCTCATGTTTCCTTCACCTCTTGTGTTCTTGAACGTTTCTGGCCGATCTGCTTTCTCCTTTCTTTTTCTTTCCTACGGTCCATGATGATTTGCTCCTCATCTGCCAATTGATAGCAAACGAGCTGCGGAGACCTGAACGGAGCAAATCGATCGGCTCGGCTCGAATTGACTGGACTAAGGCGTCAGCCGTCATGGATGTGGTTGGACACCATCTGGGCTCCAATTTCGTTCTTTGAATTGGCTGCCTAATGATAGCAATGTCAATGGCGGTTCGCCTGTCATCAAGCACACCCGAGCACACCACTACTTCCCAAGGACGTGAGGTGGTCATATAACGATCTACAGTCTGTCATTCCGATTGGGGACCTTCTCAAAAGAACCTCTTCAGCTTCCTCAAGAATTTCAGCCATCATCAAGAGCATCCACTCACACACACCCGACGCAGTGGAGAAAGCCTGCGCTTCGCCCGACATGGTCGAAGCAACCACTCTTGGCAAGCGGTAGGACTTCCAAGCAAAACAGTGAACGGGCACATCTTCTCCCTGGCGCATTCGGTCGGAAGTGAAAGCAACTAGCCATCCACCCTGAGTCTTTAGTTCAGAACTATTGGCAAAGGCTGCATCAGACCAAAAACACAAGGCAAGTTCTTCAATGATTCAACAGGGATATATGGAGCATGTATGTTCAAGTCTGACTGCTGACGCGCACGACGTACTGCTTGGTTTGCTTGAAGAAGGTCCTGCACCCCTGGTGTTGGAAAGCACTGCTGGCTCATCGAAGTCTGTACGGCCAGGTCTGGACGGGTGCTCTCAGTGCTGAGATTTCTTGGGCATTTGGTAGCCATCGTTTCTTGGCTCTATCCTTTCCTATCTTGGTTGGAATGTCCTGTGTTCAGCGTATTCCTTCTGTTGAAAACGAAGTTAGTCTCCAAGTTCTGTTCATAGATGGTTCCTAAGAACTCCCCAGTTCCGGAACGCCACTTGCGGAAAAGAAATCTTGCTCGCAAATGCTCAACTGCCCTCTCGTAGCATGGTCCGGCACCACCTGTTATGGTGTCATCTACATGTGCACCCAGAATACCCTCCAACTGGTTGTCTTCCCCATAACAGAGATACAGGCAGTGGTCAAACTTGCTTCTATCAAAACCGGCTTCTAATGCAACCTTGTTGAACTCGCAATACCATTCATGGGGACCATCATTTGCACCAGATTGATATTTCCTAACACCACCAAGGAGCCCGTTTCGACTCCTGGCACTCCGGGTGGCAATTCAAAGCTTTCTGACGAACGTTTGCTTCTTTTCGAATGCTCCCTTAATGATTAACCGAAAGATGCTCTCCTTCCATCGGTTGCTGACCAACATCTGAAGAATTAGACTCCTGCCGAACTGCGATAGTGTCGGTGAGTGACACTTCCCGGCGGTCCACTTGGTGAACAGGTCCGGATCGTGATGTCCACGGAGGCACCGGCGACTTTTGATCTTTGAGTTGCCATCTTCGTGTTTCTCAACAATCACAAATCGGCTGGTCGTGATTCGGTCTGGGCAATGGAATCGAATGCGTTGTGCCTCTCGAGGAGCTTGCTCACACGCAGAGCTTGCTTCTCATCTCTGAGCATGTCCATTCAGTTACTTTCGATGCATCTATCTGCTCTTGGATTTGAGGAGGATTGTTCGAATGATGCAGTTCCTTTTGAAGCTTCGTTTGTAGGAAACTGGAAATCAAAACCTCAACGCTCTCGGCATGGCCATACTCAGAGACAAGTTCGGCAAACAGACCCGACTGTTCTTCTGTTCGCTGGCTCTTGCTGGACCCAGACGCGTTCCCGTCTGGCGAGTGACTCCTTTTGGTGCCATGGTTCTCAGTCAAAACATCTTGCAAATCGTCAATGGTTATCTCTACAGGTCGAATCAAGAAGGTTGGGGGGCTTTTGACATGTTGACGAACCCTAACTGGACCATATCCTGCATTCCACTGTGGTTCAGACACTGGTCGACCATACGGTTCTGCACTGATTGAGGTAGACTCTCCGGATGGTTCATTGCCTGCAGGATTTGCTTCTGGGGCCTGTTCTCCTAGAGTCACTTCTGGCGGGATTGATCCTAACCGCGATGCCTTGGCTTCTGGGCTCACATGATTGGTCGAATGCTTTTCCCTAATTGGAAAGTGGCTCTCACCTTTCCAGGGTTCTTCTCCCCAAATTGCTTCTTGAGATTCTGGGTTGGACAGGGGTTGATGCACAACACACTCTTTCGTGTCTGATGGTCTTGCGCCAGTTATCGAATGAGAGACCCTGAATGGCGGGGTCCGTTGACGAAGGCCAAAAAAAGGTCGTCCGGGGTTCCCTATGAATCCGCAACATGTAATTCCCTTGGCGCAACCAAAAATCTTCCACCTGGGAGGAAGGTGTTCGTTCCTGCTCTGGGGTAGGAGCATTTGTCAGATCAACGAACTGTGAACCCACCTGCTTCGAGTCGACGTCTTGCAACAGTGAAGACAAGCCTAGCATCTCTCTACCGTCGGCCTGAGCAAGAACACGTGAACTCGCCCTCAGTGGCATGTCTCAAGGTTGCTCTGGAGCAACCGACCTGAAGATGTTCTTTCGGAAAATGAGAAAATGCCAATTCCGACCTTTCCTACCGAACCATTGCCACGAACCATACTACTTCTCGGCCTCCCGCGAGACGAACACCCATCGACCTGGGTACGGACAGGGGAGAACCTCCAAGAGGCAACCAAATCGGCAAAAAAACTCTCTGGAAAGCACGAGGTCTAGGAGTCTAGCATTTATAGTGCTGCCCTATTAAACTTGCATCATCTTGAGACATCACGAGTGCCACTCGGGCGCTCGCGCTCGTGCTCGGATTGCACGTGCTCGTTCGGCACTCTCATCGTGCAAAGGTGTTGAGCCTGCAACTGGACATGGCCATTCCTGTACGAGATCTCCTGCAACTCTGGGGTTCCTGCCGAAGACCAATTGGCATGGGGATAACCCTTTGTGGTTCAACAACTCATTCTTGGCGTTGCAGGTTTGAATGACACATTGTTCATATTCCGTCCTATCTCTGGGTTGAACCTGGTCAATGACCTTTTGCAGAATAACTTCGAACAAATGTCCATGTTTTTCTACCTTCCCTAACTGGTTGTGTGCCTCTGCAGCGATGGTCGTGATGCGAGTGCCATCCTGCTCCAGACGTGCGAACACTTCCTCTGCAGTGTTTGTCTTAGCCGGGTCAACCACCACCTCAATTGGGGAACCTGCCCATCGCTGCCAGGAGTCCAAAAAGGTCTTCTTCAAAAGTTCAGCTGTCTCCTTTTCGAATCATCACTTGAAAACTACGTAGTGGCAAAATCCACTATATTCATACACTTCACCTGCTGGTTCACTCTCCACCCCGGCAACAATTTAGTGTCCCATCCAATTTTATGGTTGAAATCTTGCACATGTGGATTTGCAGGGTGACAGGGAGTTGGTCTCTGTCTCTGCTGGCAGATCTCACACTCAGCTTCGACCGTCTCTGCTGCCTTCAAGGCTGCTTCGTTCGCAGCTGCATTCTTCAAGACTCGGCTGAGTGATCTGGTTGAGGGATGTCCTAAATTATTATGAATTATGAAGCTCACGAACAAGGAGGTCGACCGGTCGAGCTTCGAAGGCAGCACACACTTCATGGATGCACACACTCACTCGGTTGGAGCGCCCTCGTCACTGGCTCCTGGATGCACGAAAAATGACACAGCTGCGGACGAATCCATTTCAACCATGTCCTTACAAACTGCCTAGTGTATTCTGCTGCCCTAGCACTACGACTTACCCCATCACCCGTGTGCCCCTCGATCAACTGATGACTCTGGTGTCCTGGACACGGTAGGGCAAGGTCAGCCATATCTGCATGCGACACTGCCAATCCGGTCGCTTTCAGGATGGGCTGCTTGCTGTCAACATCCTGCAACCCGCACGCATGTTTGCTTTGTGCACGGTCAGTTGGCCACTTTGCAACAGCTTCTTGATCGGTGGATGTCTCCACAGATCACTGGACCGCTCCAACAGCACCCTGCCACCTCGTTTCAGCTGCTTTCGGATCTGTTGCGCGCAGAAGTCTGCTTTTTCGCTCTGGCGATCCTCTGATTGCGCTGTTGTTGTTCCATAGGCAGCTTGTGGCGATTGAGCCTGTACCATCCACCCCAGTGCTTGCACTCAGGACAGCACACTAGCAGCTCAGGCTTCGTCTCGTCCAGCTGTTGATCGACGGTCTTCCTGTTGCATGTCGAAAGCCAGACCCTTCTCTCCCTTCTTCTCCAGCTCTGCTGAAAACCGTGGTGGAGAGAAAAGTTCAGCCACCGCCACTGTGCTCTGGCTTTTCTCCCAGGCCTCACGCTGTGCCAACAAACAACGTTGTTCACGCTTCGTCAACACACGCTCAGGTCCAGCAACCAATGCACAATGTTCACAACTGCCGACCAATGCACAATGCTCACAACTATCGACCAATGTACAATGCACACCATCGACCAATGTACAATGCTCACCATCAACCAATGTACAATGCTCAACATCATGCATCAATGTACAATGTTTCTCATCTTCAACCAATGTATGAGCTCCACCACCCAATGATTCTGCTTCACCGGGGGTCCCCTCACACATCAACAACTGTCCATGACGTTGAGGATGAATTGCCCCGCAGCGTTCTTCTGCAAGCTCCTCGGCTGCGACCCTCCGATCGGGATGGTCTCAGCCTCGAAATCCAGCACGGCACGCAAGCTCTTCATGGTGTTTCGGCTGAGGAGGAGTGGTGCACTTCCTTTGATAATACAGCAATTAATTCGGCCAGGCCGGCCATGGATTGACACAGGCATTGATACCACCTTCTCGGACAGCTCCTCCTGACCATTCCCGAACCCGAACAGGTTTTGCTGACTCCTTGTGGTCGGGGTGCTCATGCTCTGTTCATGAAACAAACGAAGGAATTGGTTCAATGTCTCCTGTCCAATCAGCATCCTGCTGCAGCCCGAATCGATGATGCCATATGCTTTTCTGTGGACAATTTCCGGCCCAGTGGCCTATTTGCCCGCACTGCCTGCAACGAGATTTCTTCTGCAACTCTGTGACCTCCCGCGAGAACTGTTTCTTGACAGCACTGACTTGTCCAAAACGTCTCAACTTCTGCAGCTTCGAAATCTCGGACCTGCGCTCACGCCAAGTTGCAGCCAGCACCTCAGCAATTTCATCCTCATCATAGGTTTCATTTGTTGCGTTGGGCTCATTCGTGCCATGTTCGGCCAAGAATGCCTCAACTTCATCAAATGCCACGGCATCCGGGCCGTCATCCGAGACAGCGGAAGGTGGAAGCTCCACATCTTCCTCAGCTTCAGACTGTTGCACCAACAAGGCAGGTGCCGCACGACCTCGGCGGCTAGCCTTGAACTCTGGAAAACAGCTGCGCATTGCAGGAGCCACCACCTCGAACTTGAGCTCTCCCTGCGTCTTTGCAGTCACAATGGCTCTCTGATCGGGTGACAGTCCAGAAGATGTCAAACAGATCCAGCCCCGAGCCTCGCTCGGGAAGTCCACACTGACCTTTCGTCTGCACTTCGCGAAGGTCTCCTGCACCCTTGAGGTCCATGCTGCGATTGATTCACCATCGCGTGCAGCAAGCTCGAAGACCTCCTTGAGGCATTCAGCCAACCAGTCGTGGGACAACCTGTCTGGAAAACGTTCTTCTAATGCCGCCCACATGTGCTTGTCGCCGTTTTCCTCCTTCAGCTTCTCTAGGGCCAAATGCTCTACAGCTTCTAATGCCAGTCCGTCCAGCAAACAAACAAGGTGAGCCCGCAACCCAGGAAAAATAAACAAACAGACATAGCAGGCCAAAACGAAGCGTCAGCCCCCTCCAGGCTTCGTGGCAACCATGATATTTCAAGCATCGCGGTTCTGGTGCGCTGCCATATACACCCCCGTCCACCCCTTGGTCAGTTTTGAAAGCCCTCCAAAACGGTCATAAAACGATTGCAACATGGCTTCTAACAACCCTTCCAGGAAGCATGGAGCAGCATCAGCTCCCTCCATGCTTCGTTCCAACCATCAAATTTCAAGCACTGCGGCTCTGGCATGCAACCATCCTGCCATGATTTGGGCTGTCTTCGGCACGCCGCGTCCCCGACAACGCTCAACCTGAATTCTTTGGCCTCTACTCACTAGCACGATGACCCCCAACCTTGCTGCTTGCTGTCACTTTTGTTTTGTTTGTGCATGCTACCTGCCACCTACTAGCGACGGCCTCCAACCTTAGGCGTTGGCCTCCAACTGACTTGAGATGGCCTCTAACCTCAAAGCGATGGCCTTTAACCTACTACTTGTCACTTATGTTTGGTTTGCGCATACTACCTGCCACCTACTAGCGGCGGCCTCCAACCTTAGGCGTTGGCCTCCAACTGCCTTGCGATGGCCTCCAACCTCAAAACGATGGCCTCTAACTAACTACCTGTCTGTTACCTGTATCCTTAGGAAATGGATACCTAGGCCGGCGTGTGGCAACCGCATTCACATCAGTAGGCATTTCTATAAGTGTGCGTGTTTGAGTTGCATGTGCTTGCCGGAAGGAGGTGCCAAACCGCACTGTCATGACCTCCATGTGCAGCACGGCATATTCACACGTCGTGTATCCCGAGCGACGTGAGGAAGAAAACCCGTTCTATTTCATTCAGACTGGGCTTCAAGTCGCCCCAGCTTTTGCCGACATGGATGGAGACGGTGACTTTGACTTGGTGTTTACAAGCGGAAAGTGGGAAAACTCAAACTCCGGCACCTTCTACTTCGCTAACCACAATGGAGAATTGGTCCCTGAACTGTCACCCATTGAGCACGTGGACCTCTCCCCTTTGGCTGGCTCTGTCCAGGCCCCTTCATGTTTGCAACTGGTTGATTTCGATGGGGATGGAGATTTGGATTTGCTGACCGGGAGCAACTATGACACGACTGTTTGGTTTGTGGAACAATTCGAAGATGGCACCTTCTATCACGCACAGGGGGCAAGCAATCCTTTTGGTGCAGGAATGATAGGTCTTTCACCCTGCCCCGCATTGGGTGACATCGAACTCGATGGAGTGGGAGACCTCGTGGTGGGCGATCAGCATGGCATGCTTTTGATGTTTCAGCACCAACCCACCCAACGTTTCGGCCTTGGGGCCAACGTGGAGGACCTTGGGCAAAAAAAAACAAAACAACAACTGTTGTAGTGGGATGGACCTCGCTTTTGGAAACGATTGAGCATGCTACTTGTTACAGTAAGTTGGTTCGACCGTGTTCCACCAGGATAGTCAACACCACCCTCTTGGTTCTCTCAATGAACAGATGTGGGGTGCACCTAGAAAACCTACGGCTGTTGATTGGAATGGGGACGGCCTACTGGATTTGATTGTCGTCGCCGAGACCATCGAGCTTTTATTCCAAACGGATGACGGTACATTTTCACCTGCGACAGCAGCACCGTTCGACAAGATCCTCAAGAACATGCGAGGAGGACATTATCCAGGCACGCTTCGGAGTGTCGATTGGGACTTCGATGGTGACATGGATTTGGTGTTGTTTTGTGAGTCTGGCGTATTCTTCTTCGAGCGGATGGGCGAGGAGCTGGCAGCGCCAAAACAACTTGTATTTAATTCTACTACTGCTCCTGAAGGTGTGAATTTGGGGATCGTATTCAGTGGTGACATAGTCGACTGGGATGGTGATGGAGATTGGGATTTGATTTTATGCCCTACGTTTTCAAATGTCATCCTGCTCGCGCTTCAAGAAGACAATGAGTTCCGAATTGTGCCTGACGCTGACAGTCCTTTTCGTGCAGTTCAATTCGTAGGGTCGCAGGCCGTTATAACAATTGCTGATTTGGATGCTGACGGCTACTTGGACATGCTTGTCGGCACAACGACGGGCAAGATATCCGTATTTCGGCAAGACTCTTCACATGCATTTGTGCACCAAGAGGAGTTCGATGTGGAACTTCCATCGGGCGGGCCAACTGGGCCCGTATTTGGTGATTAGGATGGTGATGGGGATCTTGAAGTGCTTGTTGGGACGTCAACAAAATGGGAATACTTCAAGTTTGGAGACTGTCAACTTCAAGATCCTTGCTTTGTCAACGCGGGGTTCTGCCTGTCAGGGGTGTGTCAGTGCATTGAAGGTCATGGCGGCAAAGATTGTGCCTTGGCTGATCCGGCAGTTTACTGAACCCAAGCACACGGCATGTCCTTCCTTTCGCGTTCGCATGAGTTCTTATTTCATGACGTTTTTGCCAAAAAAACGAAGAGCTAGCCAGGGACCACAATCATGTAGAAAATCATTCATCACTAGCACCTACTGCACATTCCCTGGGTCCTGTGTTTCCATAGAGTTTTTTTGCCGTTGAGGGGAGTGTATGCCATGTCATAGACCTTTGAACCTGTGTCTACTTGTTCATTAGTTTAATTTGCTTCCAATGTGTCCATGGTGTTTGTTGGGTTACTGTCCTTACAAGCAGTTCTTGTAGATTTACGAATCGTTCCTCTGTATTTATAAATAGTTCCTGTATATCTATAAATAGTTTCTGTAGATTTAGAAATAGTTTCAAGTGCCGACCCCCCCCGGAAATGCAAATGGTCCATTAAAGAAACCACAGCGGCTCTTAAGTTTTGGTGTCAAAAAAGAACTCGTTCCTTCCGGACCTCGCTCGAAGTGACGTTGCAGACCTCGCTTGGCGAAGGCTCGAAATGCATCTCTGGCTTCGCCACGGTTCAAAGAAGCTCGAAGAGTGGACACGCCTGTATGGCCTGCCCAGGAGTCAGGTCAGAGGCTGGCCCATGCAATGGAAAGGGACGTTGCTTCGATGACCAGTGACTTGAAAGCTTTGAACAACATTTTTGGGGATGATTTGAGCAAAACCATGCTGGGAGCAGAAGTGAACATTTTGTTTGGCTGATTTAAGTAAGGCCATGTTGGGAGCTTTAGCAATCCAATCCCTGCAGATTGATCATCCCATTCTTTGGGGAAGTGATGGGCCATGTTGTTCTTCCAGCAGATGCTGAGGTTATCTGCAGACTTTCTGACACAGCAAGGGCTCACGGTCATCCAGCCACTGGGCAACGGCAGCTGCTGGTGCAACACGCCTTTTCTCGGTGCAGACTCCTTATCCTGGCAGAGAAGTCTTTTGTGCGTACAGTGGTCTCGGAGTAGATTGCACGTTTTCCCAAAGATGTCCTATCTCGACGAAGGCCCTAGCTTAGACACATGTAGAAACCCAAGCTTGGCGGCCCAGACGTGCCATCTACTCTGAGACCACTATATTCAATCATTTAAGGTAGGCAGGGTCGGTGATGATGAATTATTTGGGAAGCTTCGAGTCAACGTCTCCCCAACGTTTGAATGCTCAAGCCAAACTGGGGAGACGCCCTTGAGGAGCAGTGTCATTGCTGGTACCTCAAGTTAAACTTTTTCTCTTCGGTTCCATCGCCATGGCAAGTGATGATGCCCAAGTTCGCCGAGCGGTCGAACAGACCAAGCTCGAGCGCTGGTGCGCGGCACATCACATTGAGGCGACCTCCGATCTTGCCTTCTACTTCGTGACGTATGAGGAGGCGTTATTGGAGGGCCGCGCTGTGGCCGATGCCTGGGAGCAGGCGCGCCGCGAGGTGGAGATCGGCGCTGGTGCTCTTGTGCGGGACCTTTTCCGCCGCGAGCAGGTGTCGCAAGCCGCGCCGAGGCCCACTACATCCCCGTCTCTGATGCCGCGGCCTCCTCCATCTTTCGCAGGGCCTGTCAGGCCCAGCGCCCAGGGCCATCAGTCGGGTGGCCCTGCTGGTGGCGCGTTGGTCTTCTTGCCCCAGTTGATGGCGATTCTCTTGGCTATCGAACCCCCGCCGGCAGCGCGCTTGACAGAGATCACCGCCAACTTCGAGGTGAAGCTCAAGAGTGTCCTCCAGAAGGCGGAAGCCGCGACCGTGAAGCGTGCGCTCCACACGTGGCAAGAGCTGCAAGGGGCTATTGCAGCAGCTGGCGGTGGGCTTCCTGACAAACATCTTTTAGCCACCTTCATTCGGGAGCACGCTTCGCCTACAAGGGCCTATACTGCCCTGGGGTGGCTTGTGCGAAACTTAAAGCTGCCCTTCGACCTCTCGGAAGTGGTCAAGCCCCGAGCTGGCTTGGGCTCTCGCCTTGGTCAGGGGCAGGCCCAGGCGGCCACCTTGGAGCCCTCTATGATCCTACACCTGTTGGGAACTTTGGAGTCCACCGTCGACCACCCGCACTGGCCCTTGGTGTTTTGTGCCTACGCTATGTGTTTTGGCGTGGTGAGGTACACTCACCTGACGCAGCTACCTGGTTGGCGGCAACGGGGGCATCCTGGTGTTCTGGCGCACGAAAGGCAAGACCGGTAGCCGTGGCGGCTTTGCCTGGAGCGTACCACGGTATTGTGGCACGTTGGATCTGTTGCAGGTGTTGGGAGCCGACCTGAACAAGGTGCGCCCTCGGTCAGGGGCCGACTTCAGGCGCTGGCATTGGTTGGGCTTCGACTCGGCTACAGCCCAGCCGGTGGGGACGGCACAGTGCGTCCGCATCTTGCGCCCACATTTGAGCGCCGCCATGGACGTTACAAGCCTGTCCTCCTACTCCTTCCGCAGAGTCCTTCCAACGCTGGCAGGCTATGTTGGGCTCTCGGAGACTGAGCGGCTCGCTCTTGGCCAGTGGGTTGACCAATCATCCAAGACCTCAGCGACCACTCCATTGCGGTATGACTCCCAGAAGCAGCGCCTGGGACATCAGCTACGCCTGGCTGGTTTGAACTTCTTCCAGGACCTCAACATGGCACTGTGGGATGAGCTTCCAACGGGCTATGCTTCGGCACGCTGGGCAACTTGTATGGGTGATGCTGACGAGTTATTGGCCAGGCATGCCCGTGGTCAAGACTCTACTTCCTGCTCAAGTTCAAGTCATCCAAGCTACGGGTCGTCGCATCACTGCAGCGCTCAGGCGGAAGCGCCCGGCCCCTCCCGCGGCAGTCCGCCCGGCGGTAGGGCCCCCTGGCCGAGGACCACGGTGTCGACCTTCTCGTTCAGCAGTCCTTCACGGCCAGTGAAGCGGGCCCGGGTGGAGTCTCCACCCAAGGCGTCTGCAGGCGGCAGCGCCCAGCCGGTGACTCCGCCAAAGGCACCTCCGCCAAAGGTGCCGCCTATGCTGCCTTTGGTCTCATCCTCATCGGCTTCGGCGGCCACTCCATCTTTGGGGGCACCACCACCTTTACCGTCCACTTCACCCAGGGCATCTTCGTCACCAGCGGCAGCGGGACCTTCTAGTGCTCCACCTCCAGCTCCAAAGATCAAGGCCATGCCGCGAGCTCCTCCTCCAGCGCCTGAGGGGCCTCAGCAGCTGCAAGAGGCCAATGATGCAGCCTTTGATGCGGCGGCACGTGAGCGCTGGCGCCGGCCCGGGCACAGTGGCGCTCCGGAGCCCCCCACTCTCATCTTCATGGGGGAAGCTGGCAATGGCTCGATCTACCTGGGTGGCTTGCCCACGGACCGGGCCTGGTTGGAAACCCACAACATCGGCTTGAGCCTCAGCGCCATGGACAAGATCGCTGCTGATTGTCGGGGAGGGGTCAGCACCCGTCAGGTCTACCAGTTTAACGCCCCCGTCGGCCACCAAGGAGCTCTACGTGACCGCCAATTGAAGTTGGTGCTGCCGATCTTCCTGGCTACCCTCTACTCTGGCTTTTCGGTCCTGGTCCACTGTATGGCCGGGGTGCACAGGGCCCCCTGTGTTGGCCGGGTTGCTGCTCGCATGGATTCGGAGGTGCTCCTTCGAGGAAGCGTATTCCCGCCTGGAAGGCTTACGGGCCATCGACAGAGCCGGAGTGCTCAGCAGGCGTGGCGGCAACCTCTTCTCCACTTTGAGCCCTCCGAGTTGCGTGAAGAGTTGATGACTGTCATGGGCTTCCACCTAGGCCTCTCCCCACCGCTGGAGGACTCGTCCCACGTTCCTACACGCCAGGTTGCAGTTGATGTGTTGCAGATGCGGTCACACCTCACCGACGCGGATGTGTACATTGGACCCGGTCACTTCTCACATCGTTGGCCGTTGACACAGTGGCAAAACCCCTTCCGGGCGGGCGAGGGCCGGACGGCGCTAGAGAGTGTCCTTCACTACGCCAGATGGATTGCCGACCAGGATCATCTCATGGCGGATCTCTCTTCTCTCCACTTCAAGAACTTGGTGTGTGACTGCCCCCACAACGTGCTCTGCCACGGGGACATCCTTAGAGCACTGGTTTGGACAACATCGCGTACTACCTCTTCTCCAGGCCATCAAAGCCCGACACGGGAGCGGCTACGACGGGTCTCGCTCGTTGCAGCCGGCATTCGCCCTGCCAGGGCGGTCCCTCTGAGGTTCTCTCAGGAGGTTGTGGTCGCGAGCCTGATATCAGTTGGGATGGTTTCAAATGGCCCATGCTCGAAGACCTTCTGGTGGATGACTCTCACTACCAATGGCTCAACTACATGCAGAACCGCCCTGACTGGGACAGACATTCCTTCGGCCCACGGCTGGTGGGTCCCTTGGAGCGAACTGCCATTGCTATGAGCGGCCTTCAACAGCCCGGGGCGGCTGCAGCGGCCAAAGCCTTGCCTCCTATGATCCCCTTTGGCGTAGGGGAAGACCGGCACTTTGAATTGGCACCGAACTCCAGCAAAGACCCACCCCATTTGAATCCATGGGTGTCGTCGACGATGACTTGATCTTTGCAGCGGCCGGGTACGCGGCCCAAGGTGTCGGGCTTCGCGAGGTGCGGCGACGCACCGGACGCTGGCTGCAAGAACTGAGCCGCAGGACGTGGCCCATCACTTACCATCTCCAAACCTACCAGCCACCGCCTGTCCGATCGGCCACGAAAGGGCGTTACATTGCCCTGATTGGACTCATCATGTTGCTCATTGGCTGGCCGGACACTGCCTTTGTGGCTAGTCTGATTTCTGGGTTCTCAGCGGTGGGCTTCTCGCCTCACGAGCCCATCTATAAGGCCCAACCGGCCCACCACATCACGGACGACTCCATCTACCAGGATGCATTGCCCGAAGCCGCTCGCATTCTACAGAGCCTCCGTCCTGGCGAGCACGATGCTGCCATCGTTCAGGCAGGTGAAGACGACCAAGCCAAAGGCTTTTGCGGCCCCCCTTTGACATGGGCCCAACTATGCCACAAACTCCCTCGATTCCGGTTGATTCGGAGGTTTTGTATCCAGCAACCGTCTGGCAAGTTGCGAGTCATTGATGACGCCGCGGACGGCGGAGACGCGAACAAGCTGGACCTATGTACCAGCATCCAACCCGGTCTACACGTCCAACTGTTATGGCAGGCAGCTTCTTCGTCCACCCATTCGTCGGAGTTGTTACAAGCTGGTATTTGGTCTGGTGGCGACGCGACGACCTGCCCAATGCCCACCGCTACGTTCCTATGAAGCCAGAGCACAGCAACATGGCCATTGTAGCCTACTATGACCACCACGTTGGAGCCCCACGTTTTCGACGATACTATGGTTCTTTGTTTGGGTTACCAAATGCTGTATGCTCCTTCAATCGGTTCCCTCGATTCTTTCAAGCTGCATGCCGCCGCCTGGCCTGCTGTATGACTAGCATGTACTTTGACGACCTGGCCATCCATGATTTTGGTATCATGGGCGGCGCCGGCCAGGCTTTCGTCAATGAGCTTGCCCGCTGCCTTGGTTCCCCATTTCAAGAAGAGAAACATCAATCCTTGGCGGCTCAATCTGATTTTCTAGGGCTGATTCATGACGTGACAGCCTGTCATCAGGGCGCCCCAGTGAAGTTTTGGGCCCGCGATCGTTTGCTCACCAAGGTCACCGACATCATGGATGCAGCGGCCCAGACAGGTCGACTCCCACCGGGACTGGCGGCCAAACTCTTTGGCTGCCTGGGGTTTTTGACTACCGGATGCTTCGGTAAGCTTGGCCGGTCTGGCCTCCACAGTATCAAGGAGAGGCAATACTCCTCGCAGGTCGTGATGACACTGGAGATTGCTCAGTCCTTTGATCGGATTCGGGCACTACTTCATTTGAAACCAGAAAGAGAACTTCCTCTTAGCCCTGTGAAGCAGCGCCGGTACTTGGCTGCATCTGATGCTGCGCAAGATCTGCCTTGCGAGGGCTCTGCAGGTCACCGACGGGCCTATGTTGTCCACATTCGCCCGGAGATCTTCGAGGTGTGGTCCCACCATGATGCTAAGATTGCGCAACTTGAGCTTCTGACAGTCTACATGGGACTCGCGTACAATGCTTCGTCAACTCGAGGGATGCATGGTATCTGGTTTGTCGACAATATTGCAGCACTGATGTCACTCATCCGAGGCCGCAGCAACAATGACGAGTTGGACTCCATGGCCGGAGCCATCCATGGCTTACTGTTTGCACTCCGCAGTGCTTGCTACTTCGAATGGGTCCAGAGTAAGGACAACTGGTCTGATGGCATCAGCAGACAGGGAGAACATGACCCATGGTTCCAACGACATGGCTTCAGTCTCTTTCACACCTACCCCCCTGCTCATGCTCCTCCAGCTGCCCTACCACCTTGGAGTGCTCCCACAGGGAGAGTGTCAGATGTCAGATGACACAAGCGACGTGGGTCGCATTTCAAACCAAAGCACTTCAGTACAGACAGTACAGACCTGAATCGATTCGCAGAAAAAGGTAGCAGCAGCTGACATATGTTGATTGAGCTTCATCGAATATATTCAATCATTTAAGGTAGGCAGGGTCGGTGATGATGAATTATTTGGGAAGCTTCGAGTCAACGTCTCCCCAACGTTTGAATGCTCAAGCCAAACTGGGGAGACGCCCTTGAGGAGCAGTGTCACTGCTGGTACCTCAAGTTAAACTTTTTCTCCCACCCTGCCACACCCTATACGCTACCTTCATGTCCACCTGTCGCTGGTCGAGCTGGTGGCTGACTCGGCCTGGCGCCGGTAGAGTCTGGTTTAATGGTGATGGTCATGTCACCTTCGGCCTTGCTGTCAGCTTGAGGGCCGTTTTCGGTCATCACGGCTATGCTTGCTACGCCTGCAGCCTGGGCTGCCTGCCATGAGAGACTGGGACTGCGCTGTCTGCCGCTGCCGTCCGGTTGTCCATTCACGGCTGACCGCCGCCCAGCCATCATACCTGTTGTTCAGCCGGTCACAGGTATTGAGGATGACTGGGTTATGTTACTTTAATAATTGAATTTTCCTGCTCTGTCCAGAGCTGACATCCGTTGTGGCCGTAGGACCGCCCCTGCGGTATCCTCTCGGTCACTACATACGGATGGAGTGCTCCCACAGGGAGAGCGTCAGATGTCAGATGACACAAGCGACGTGGGTCGCATTTCAAACCAATGCACTTCAGTACAGACAGTACAGACCTGAATCGATTCGCAGAAAAAAGGTAGCAGCTGACATATGTTGATTGAGCTTCATCGAATATGTGAATACAATTGAATATACAGTATGTGCTTTTTGGGGTGTAGAGTCTTATCAAAACCCAACTGGGTTGCTTCATCTCTTCACAAACCCTGCTCTTCAAGTCTCTTGGTCCTCAAACCCGACAAAAACCGACCGGTGCACCTGTCAACCGAAGCGACGTTGTTTTTCGATTCCTTCCCAGGTTGGAGAGAGCGTTTTTCGTGACCGTGACCCAAATGTAAGTATGCCTGGTGTCGGGAAGTGTGCTTGGGAAAAGAACGTCAAGCGTTCAATAATGATGATTGGACAATGGGAAACTATCGGAATCGTTTTCGTGTTGACGTAGAATTTGCCTCGCCGTGAAATGAGCCACATAATGCCGAAGAGCAGGCACAACAAGCATCCAAAAAGCAACAATGTTGGACATCAACTAGCAGCAAGCAAGCACTGAACACTGGGGTCATCTCGCTGCATGTTTTGCTGCAAAATCCGTTTGCAGGAATCCGCCCAGGATTGAAACACTTCCAGCCCTTTGGGGTGCAAAAAAACAATTCGATGGTCGGGCCTAAGGATTGCAATGAGGGTGAATGTCCTGCGGGCACAGAGTTATCTCGATTTTCAAACGGAACACTGAGCTGCACCTCATGCCTGCCTGGCTTTGGAAAGGAGGCTGCTGGCAACCGTCAATGCCAAGCCTGCGAGCCTGGCATGTTTTCCAATGGCTCCGGTTTTTGTCAACCGTGTGAGGCAGGGATGCGCCAGGCCAGTTATGGCCAAGCTGCTTGTGAATTTTGCCAACCAGGTCACGCCCCGAGGGACGATGCCAAATTTTGTTTGTCTTGTTCCCGGGGCACTTATGCGGCCGCCGGGGATGCTTCTTGCCAACCATGTGAGCCCGGTAGTTATCAGCGCGACACTGGACAAACCTTCTGCGAAGTGTGTCCTGCAGGTTTCACAACTGATGAGGACCGCACCGCTTGCAACCGGTGTCAGGCAGGCACCTTTAGCAAGGACTCGCTTACGGGTTGCCAGACCTGTGGTGGCTTTACCACACCCAACGAGCAGCAAACGAACTGCATCCCGTCTTGGGCGAAGCTTGCAGGCGCAGTGGTGTTCACATTCTTTGCGGCATTCTTCATGTGGCTGCTGCCGTTCTTGATAGGGATCAAGCGTCACATTGCTGATGTGTCCTGGCTGCCCACGGACGAAGCGGTGATTCTCACCACCCAGCAAAAGCATCAGTTCTCCTCGAAATACATCCCCGTGGTGTTTCACGATACAGGTGTGAGTTGGCTGCAGGAAAGCACTGAAAGCACCACGGAAGATGGTGAGACTAAGAGTGCTCCGACCATCTCCATCATGTACGTGAAAAGGACATCTCCAACCCAGCTTCAGATCTATACAGAGCCTGGTTGTCCCTTGGCCCAGCGTGCGGAAACCTCCATCGGCACCTTTCAACCGACGCCTTTGGCAGAAGTGTTTGGAAGCGTTTTCTTGGGTATACCTGTTGTCCTATGGATGGGAGTCTCTATTGCAGGAATGATTGCTATCGCCTTGCTGATTCACATTCCCTGGTGGTACTATATCGCAACCTTTGTTTTTGACTTTTTCGTGGTATTAGCGCTGCGGCTGCTACAGAGAAGGCACGATGCTGCAACCCCTTTGCAGGCCTTGCTTGCCAGCTACAAGGCAAAAGTGATGACCAATCCAACTCCTTGTGATCCAGGACCTCTTCGATCAGTCAACGTGGGCAAACTCTGCAAGTTTGAGGAACACTTTCGTTCAATCCTGCAGAGAAGAAGCATGTACCTTTGCCAGATGAAATGTCCTCCCTTGAATCCCTAGATGACTTTGTCGATTTTGTCATAATATGTGTTCGTTGCTTGGACATGCCGCGGCGCTAAGGTACTACGTTTGCCCTTGCCCCAGACTGAAACTGCAAACCTTGATCTCATCAAAGGCTTGAAATCACCAAAGCTAGCACCAGCTAGCTGGAGTTTTCCTTGCTTTAGCAAGTGAGGGGCTGGAATCCTCGAGATCGCCGCATCACGTGAAAACTTCATATGTAGAAGGGGGGCCCCCCCTCCCCCTGCGTTTGTAGGGTCCTAGGTCCCCCTAGGCGTGTCTACGCTATACGTGTGTAGCACCTGTTCTTCGTAGATAGATCTTGTATATATCTCTTCAGTCAGATTTCGCTGTAATTCATGTGGCTCAAGACTTTGAAGCCCAATACTGCACTCCGTGCCATAGAAAAGGTGTGCATCGCTGTCGCTCGCACACTCATTTGTCATTGTGGCCTTACTTGGTGTATTCGATCAGGTCCAGTAACTCTACTGCCACTCTTGGGGGTACTTACCCCTCAAAGTGGTAGCGGAGCTTGTGTCTCCTGCTTCGCCACGGTCGATTTTGCATTCGTGCAGAACCGTCCGACATTACGGACAGGAGACAACCAAGTAGTCCACTTGTCTGAAGAGTAGAGACCATGGTCCAGATCTTTAACATAGATACGGACGAAGAACGAGAGTACAGTCACTCGGAAGTGTCAGATCCAGAGGAAGCATTCGCTGCGCAAGGTTCGAGATACCGTTCCCAGCAGTCAAGATCCTCAGGTTCGACATTCCGGACGTACGAGACACAACCAGCGCCAGGTGTCAAAATGACGCCAAAGATTCCCCGTCCTTCGATGGACAGTCATCTTGGTTTGAGTTTGGAGATTTGATTGATGACTGGGTAAACATCACTACCCTAGCCGCAGAGAAGCTTGGTCCTTCGCTAAAGAATGCATTGACTGGAAACGCAGAGTATTACAAGAAAATGCTCGACAATGAGCAGCTCCGTCATGAAAGAAACGGCGTTACGTACTTCAAGGAAACGCTGCGCCCATACTTTGTCAAGGGAGCAAACCATGTTTTTCTCTGGCGTTTCACGCAGCTCTTTAGGACCTGGCGCGGAAACGGTGAATTTGTCAGTTGGATCGCACGTTTTGAAGTTGCAAGTAAGAAAGTCATGGAAGCCTTCATGGGTTTGTTAGATCTTTCAACTGTTCAACAGCCTGCTGATTTCAACTTTACTGATATCCTCTCGCAGCAGCAGTACTTACTACAAGGACTTCAAGATCCCGCAGAAAGAAGAGAAACTGCAGAAAGGACTCGTTCTGAACACATTGATGCCTTGAAACAAGCACATCGTGACACTTTTTCCACTGTCTGACAACTTGATGTCTATTTTCTTAGTTCAGTCCGACCTCAATGAACAGCAAAGAGAAAGGTTTGTAGCCAGTATGGCCTTGCGTCAGATCAACATGAACAACTGCACATACTTAGGTGTCAAAGGCTTATTCCTTGATCTCTTTTGCGGAACCGCCGCAGTTGAACTGCCGATCCTTCGATCCGCGGGCAGAGAAGATCCACTTTCCTTGTCCTCGATGAAGGAGACTTGGAGGACGAATCCGGATACTGGGTGATGGATCAGGACACAGGCGAAGAAGGATTTGTGAGTTTGTTCTCAGAATCCGATTTTTCGGTGTTAGCAGCCAAAGGAGGATACACCCGTAGAAGAATCAGAATCCACGGAAGAAGGTTCAGAAAGCCATCCAAAGGCGGCAAAGGAAAAGGCCGCGGAAAAGGAAGAAGACCCGGCTTTATCAGCCGTAGAGGCAAAGGTGCAGGGGCGCACTATGCAGAGTACCCTGACAACTCAGGTTTCTATGGAAAAGGCAAGAAAGGGAAGAAAGATGGAAAGAATGGTTTCAAAGGAAAAGATGCATTCAAACGCAAAGGAAAAAGCAAGCAACAGAATCAGTTCCAGCAATCCAATGTTGCAACCACCGATGAGCCTTCAACGGCTCAGCCAAACCCCAATGCCGAAGAAACCTGGAGTGCACGTGAAGCAAGTTGGTCATGGGACTCATATGGATACCACACAGACCAGTACTATCCAGAAGATGTCTGGCAGGCAAATGAAGCCACTTGGCAACAATGGACATACTACGCGGACGGACAGACGGACAGACCGCAAAATGAAGAGCACAACAGCTTAGAGCCAAGGCCTGACCAGCAGAACCAGTCAACAGATATCCGATATTCCGGACATCATGCAGAAGAATTGACTGGTGAAGAACATGTTTCACATCAGTATCACCTAAACCCTGCCGGTAGTAAGGAAGACTACCGACATTCCGGTTGTTCTGAATTGAGTGATCCACGCTTCTGTTCATCATTTGTCAACTTTGACGATGGATTTCACCACGCATTGCTCTCTGAATATGCCGACTTGAGGTACAGCCATACGCGATCATCGACAGCGGCTGTACACGAGCAATGGGCTCGAGGACCGCCATCTTCGTCTAGTGAAGGCATGTAAGACTACAATTCAGCCAAGATTGATTTCTCTTTTGAGCCTTCGTCAGGTCGATTCTCATTCGCCAACGGTGAACAATCCAACGTCCGTGAGAAGCTGGTGATCTACCTTCAGAACGACCAGGCACCCACCGGGTGGATAACAACGGCAATCGACATCTCAGATCAGGGAGATGTTCCGATTTTATTTAGTGTCGAGCAGCTTCGTAACCTTCGTATGTCGATCGAACATACTCCAGCCGGCGACTATCTGACTTGTCCCTTGTTCGGTTTGAAACGTTTTTCGTTGCCAGTGAGCGCTTCGAACCATAATGTCCTAGACATCATGATGTTTGCTAGCTCAGTTCGAAAGCCGAGTCACAGTTTCACAGCGATCAATCCTTCGTTTGCATCATGCCCAGCTTGCAAAGGCAAGCATCGAGCACATACGTACAAGGATGGATGTATGAAGGCAGCAACATCAGAAGTCAAGGAAGACAAGTCAGCAGCCTATATTCCGGCAGTGAAGAAACCGGAAAAGAAGGTTGCAAGCGGAGATGCCAAGATCGATCTGCCTTCGAAGCTAATTTCGACGCCTCCGCCGGCCAAGATGGTGACACATCCGACATTCCGGAAGACAGAGAAGTCACCTGATTTCGGTGCACCATTTGCGCGTTCGAAGATTCCGAGTTCAAGTTCAGGAGCAGAGAAGCCGGGTGTACCTCCAGCATCACCAGATGAGCCGGTGAAGCCAGATCCTCGGAAGAAACAAAGGAAGACGCGAAACCAATACCAACTACAGTTCACAGAGAGAAGAAGGCACCAAGGGTTTCAGTGACGTTGCCGTTAGCATTGCAGAGAATACATGAAAAGCTGTCTCATCCAACAGAACTCTTGAAACTGCACTTGAAGCATTATCATATGTCCACTGAGCAGTTCAAGAAACGTACTTCAGCTTTGAAGATTCCTGCTAAGATCTATGAAGAGTATGACAAGGTAGTTAAGCAGTGTGATACATGTCAGAAGTCTAAAATTGCACCTTCAAGATCAAGAATTTCTGGTATGAGAAGCGAAACGTTCGGTGAACTCACCTTTGTTGATCACGGCGAACTCGCTATCAACGAGAAGTCCAAACTTCTTTTCCTGATCATTTATGACGGTGCAACTTCTTTGACCACTGCTTATGTCTGTAACGGCAAGACTGAAGGAGAAACCATTGGCCATCTTTTGGAATACTTTGAAACATACAAGCTGAATCCTAAGTATCTTGTCGGTGATCAAGGTTTCATGGGTACTGAACTTGAAGCCTTCTACAACAGAAAGAATATTCGACCGATCACTTTAGGACCTGGTACTCCATGGCCAAATAGAGCTGTTCGCATGTACAAAAAGCGTCGCCCTGATGCTTAAGGCCGTGACTGAGGATCCATCCAGATACGAGATTTCGTACCGTCAACTCCTCAGACAAGCATCACTGGCCAGGAACTCCATGGTAACTTGTGGTGGAGTATCTCCGTTGGAGATGGCATTTGGAAGACGACCTGCTGATCTTTTGTATCCAGAGAACATGACACCTGAACAGCTAACAGCTTCACTTCCTTCTCCTGAAAAGAACATTTATGCCCTCAGAACACTTGCCATGAAGTCTTACTTAGAAGCCAAACAATCAGACGATTTGAGACGAGACATTTCTGCAAGACTTCAGTTGAGCGACGGTCCATTCTATCCTGGAGATAAGATCTACTATTGGACAGATGATAAATCCAAGGTAAAATCTGATGGAACCCATAGTGGAAAATGGATCAAAGGCAAGGTTATCAGTTCTGATGGTAGTATGGTTGGTACAGACCTGGGCGCCCGAATCTTGAAGGTCAACATCAGCAAGGTTAGAAAGGACATCAATCCGATTGAAGATGTTGAGATTGAGGTGCCGCTTGATCCGATTGCACTACTGACTTCTGAGAGTGCACGGACCGACATTCCGGTCTCTGACCACGCAAACTCTCTAGTCCAGAGCGACGGAGCTCAGATCGGTGTTGAAGGCTATTACATATTCTTCTTATGCGTGGCAACCAGTCATGACTGGCAAGATTGCTTTTCTAGAGTTCAGCACGGTTGAGTCAAGTAGCTGCCATGAACGGTTTGCGTGTTGGACAACCTATTGACCTCCGAACAGGTTTTGATATCTTGACCAGTGACGGCCGTAAGAGGACGATGGAGATCATCGAGAAACAGAGCCTAAAGTCATCTTTATGGCGCCGCACTGTGCTCCGTGGAGTCAGATGACCAATATCCATGATCCAATGTTGTATTGCCATATTTCAAACTGAACACGGAGGCCATTTTATCATTGAGAATCCTGCTTCATCAGCATTATGGTACACCCGATGTTTCCAACGTCTTTTATCGCCACATGGTGTTACCCATGGCACTCTTGATATGTGTTCATTTGGAATGAAAGACCCCAATGGCTATTACTACAACAAGCCAACCTCTCTTTTACACAATTCCGATGAAGATATCATGTCACCAGTGTTCAAGAGATGTAGTAATATGGTAGGGGGGTGTGCAACATCAGC